AGCCGGTGAGATCGGGAATGCCTCTAGTGGGAACTCTGTCCTGCAAAGGACAGATCAGATTGACAAACCGATCGCTTTAACTTTGCTGGGCAACTGAAGTACTTGAAGGGTTAAATTACATTTCTACTATTGTTCTTCACAATTGTCAGAAGAACTTTGTACCTCATGTGTTCAGGGAAATGGCGTTGGGTGCCAATTGTTGGCCAACCTGTAACCTGGAATGTTGGCAATGCAACTAATGCAGTCTCTGGGTGGGGCTGCGGGAGTACTGGGCAGTTGCCTTAACAAGTTGTAGTGCAATCAGAAGTGTGCAGTAAGAGGTGTGAGTCATCCAAATTCCTACAGCGACAGAGATTTCCTCTTTCCTTCCCTCCTTTTTGTGAGAAGTGTTTTAAGACTATTTAGATAAATAGTCATCTAAATATTGGGTAACTCACATCTGCCACTTAACTTTCTGGGTTTAAGCTTCACCCATTAGAGGACTTGAGTTCACAGACTAGGCTGGTGTTTCAATGTAAAGGCGCTACATCAAACAGAATTTCATTCCTCTCAGTGAACTTCTAAAGCAGGTGAGAGAATATAGGTATATTCTAGAATTGAAAGAATGTTGCAGGATTTTTTTCTAAACCATTAAAAAACCATGAAATTCTTTTTCATGTGTTACTGTTTACAGGTATTTGTCATTTTAGTTTGTGAAACCAGCACTTGTCTTAGTGTTTTATTGAAAGCATTGTTTCTGCTTTCAAACTGTCTCTTTCATAAGAGTCGCTGCCGATGTCATCTTTGTATATAGATTGGGATTATAAAAAATTATTTTAAGTTGTTTGGTATTTTAGTATTGCTTGTGAACAAAAGAATGAAAACTGGTTAATTTTGTTAATCAACAAGATTACATTTGTATAACGCCTTTCACGTTGGGAGGACGTCCCAAGGCGCTGGACAGTGTACAGCATTTCAGACACGCGCTGGGGTCAGGGGGGGAGAGGGGAGGGGAGGGGGCTGGCCGATGGCATGGTTGAAGAGGAGGGTCTTGAGGTGGGACTTGAAGGAGGCTAAGGAGGGGGTGAGGCGGAGTGACTGGGGATGGAATTCCAGAGGTTGGGGGCAGAGTGGCTGAAGGCTCTCACGCCAATGGTGGGGCGGGTGGGTCAGGGGTTGTGGAGCAGCCAGAGCCGGCTGAGCAGAGGGAGCAGGTGGGTTGGTAGGGGGTTAGGAGGTGGCAGAGGTAGGGTGGGGGAGGCCATGGAGGGCTTTGTATGTGAGGACCAAGATCTTGAACTGGATCCTCTGAAGGATAGAGAGCCAATGGAGTCGAGCGAGAATGGGGGAGATGGGGTCACGGAGTTTGGTGCGGGAGAGGACACGGGCTGCAGAGTTCTGGATTATTTGCAACTGTGGAGGGAGGAGTTGGGAAGGCCGACGCGCAGGGCGTTTGCATAGTCGAGCCTGGAGGTGATGAAGGTATGAACAAGAGTTTCAGCGGCCTGAGGGGTAAGGGAGTGGCGGAGTCGGGCGATGTTATGGAGGTGAGGGAAGGCAGAGTGGGTCATGGCTTGGATGTGAGGAAGAAAAGACAGTTGAGGGTCAAACAATGTTAATGGTAAAGAGATGGCTCAGTCCTCAGAGCAGCAATGAGTATGCTACATATTATAATGTATTCTGTCTGTTCTCTTTCAGTGTTTTAAATAGTTTTTTTTGACTTGTTTTCATTGGTTAGCATCAGCTGTTCCACACTGTACTTTGATTTGTTCTGAAGCTACTTATAGGGAGGGAAGGGAGTTTAACTGTTTAACAAAAACATAATCAGAAAAGCTAGCAGATCATAAACAAACGCTGGAAATCTGAAACAAAAACAGAAGTCACTGGGAACACTCAGCAGGTCAGGCAGCATCTATGGAGAGAGGAAAGTGAGTCAGCGTTTCGGGTGCATGACTCTTCGTCAGACCTTTTCCGCTTAGCGTTCCCCGCAACTTCTGTTTTTGTTTTCAGATCATAATGTTGTATTGTGAGCGGCAGCAATCCAACTTGGAAGTAGAGCTGCTTTCCTCACTCCTAATGTGTTGTATCTGCAATTAGTATTTTTATGACTAGTTATTCACTTGTCTGAAGTCCTCCACATGAGGAATGTTGGTAGGCCCGAAAAGAGATGTGCATGACCAGCGTGTTAATGATATAAGTGAGGCTGATCAGATAACTTGCCGTGACTGAGTCGGGCATCCATTGTTCAATAGCTCACAGAAGTGGCACTAATGTGAAAATGATAAAAAAAGCAGTGGGACATTACCATTGTTACAGTCTGGGAATAACCTTTCAGGTGCTTTGTATTTCAGCTTGATATTTGAGGAAAGATCTGTAGTTTTCACCATTGAAATCCTCTGAGGAAATACTGAACAAAAACTATAACCTATTGTAATATTTGCTTTACTGAGTAAACGATCTACCCAAGTGGACGAAATAAAAGGAGAGCCTGAATTTGTCAAAGGAAATATCTGTCTACCTCTCTCCTTAACGGTGTATTTAAAACCAGTTCTGCGGTTGCACTTTGCAGAATACCATAAATAGGACCCAATTCGAGGAAAGCCATTGATTGTTTACACTGGAGGGGATTGCAACTGTGCAATGTTGAATATGTGTATCCTTAAAAATAATATTAAACTAGCACATCGCTCGGGTACACTTTTATTTTCACCAAACCCTGCTGGGAGTGACCTTTTCAACGGAGCCTCAAACCAGCAAGTGGGAAAAAGATGGAATTTTCTTTTTTGGGTGGGATTTTGGTCTGCTTTTACTAGCAATTCTCTGTCACACGCTTCAGACTGACTCAATATCCCTTTGTCTTCCCTCCTGACCTTCTTGCTATCGTTTCCATTATTCAGAATATCGGTTTGGCTGCTCTCTGCTATGGCAGGCAGTATTCCCTCTTTTCTGTGGAACTATTCGCTCTTCTGGCAGGATTCTGTTTCCCCGGCTCTGCCCCACGTCTCACCAGTCTGGTTTGTGCTAAAGATAGCTCTAATGAAAGCCTGCCGAAGGAATTTTAACAATGACACCATTCTTGCAGCAATCACAGAAACACTGTATTACTAGCTTGAGATGGGAGAAACAGTACAAGTCAGTGGCGTGTTGCTGTCCTGCAAACTGGCCAACACTGACTGCAGAATGGCTGATGGGGTAAGAGGGGTTGGCTTTTAAACGCAGAAGAAAAGAAAATGAACACTGAGTTAAGCAGGTTTGCTTCTGTTTGGATTTGTGCATTATTGCATCTCTTTAAATTAAAGTACAGAACTTTAATTATTTAGTATTTAGTAAATTGAAATGACAATTGCTTTGGTGAACGTAGATTCCATTGCCGTGATTCTATTTTGAGTTTTTGATGAGTAAGATAGAGATAATCTTTTGTTCTGTACTCTGTCGTTCATAATTAGTGGATGGTAGAGGTAACAAGAAATCTGGAGAGCATTCAATGTAAAACCATTGATTGTAATGCAGGGATGAAGTGTGCCAGAAACATGAATTCAGAAAGGTAGCTGTCCTTTGGTACCTTTATTGCATTTTTCTTTGACTAAAATGGAAAGTATTCAATGCAAAGCACATATTTTAAATTGTTTCTTTGACGTTTATTGACATTTCTCTCGTCCCATCTAAATTTCACCCACAAAATACAGTCAATTCACTTTACAGTATATTTTGTGAAGCGCTTTAAGAATGATATGATAACAACAACAACAAGATTACATTTGTATAGCACCTTTCACGTTGGGAGGACTTACCAAGTCGCTGATAAGGCGCTATATCAAAAGGATTATTATTAAATTAATGAGGGAGAATTTTACCAAAGAAAAGGTTATTATCAAAGAAAATGCCCAATAGACAAACATGTTTTAATCATTTTCAACTAGTTATTTTCTTACTCTCAATTGCTTCTCTTCTGGCAGTGCGTTTATATGCTCATTTAACATTTTTTTAATGGGTATTTGCTTTCTATAAATGGTGTATGTTGTGAAGAGCCAGACGACTCCATGAGGCTTTTTTGGGAGCGGATGCTTTAAACTGGCGAGAGCCAATTCCAGGAGAGTTTAGTGTCTGCTGATATTGAACGTTCCTGGAGGTCAAGTGACTGTGGATTGGATCCCAGCCAAGTTCAATTGGCTGTTTGTTGCTGAATACAACAGTGCAGTTCTAGCTCCTCTGTGAGCTAAGACATCAGAGTGATCTGTAGGTGGGTGAAACTTTGTCGGCATTAAAAAAAAATCTTCCCAGGGAGTTTATTCCCCTCGATTCTTTTTCCTCTTCAACCTTTCCACAGAATTTTGATTCCTATGAGCTATTTGATATTATTCCCATGATTTAGGTTACCTCCTCCTATTCTCCCACTTCAGAAATCCAATGTTATCCCACATGAAGGGCGCTATATAAATGCAATTTGTTGTTGATCACATAGTATTCCATATGGGGCTTGAGAAGTATTGTACAGCAAGAATGCAACCTCTCTTGAATCGTACTTGTACTCTATTAATGCTACCTATTATCCATAATAACACTATAACAACAACAATAATAATATTCCTTGCATTTTGGTATGATGTGGTCGAGAAGTCTCAAAGTGCTTCACAGGATATACTGTAAAGTGGTGTGACTGAGTATTTTGTAGGCAAAATATTGCACAATTGATCATTGAATAAGCCCTTCCTCTGTTGTTTCCTTGAGCCCATGACAATTATTTTAAACTGAACCACATCTGCCACCTATTAGCCCAACTATCAAATGATCCATATTCCAATTCTGACTGTATCGGTACCCTGTATCTGAGAGTTGTGTCTATACTGTGCATCAGAATTGTACCTGTTCTAAGGGTTTATGTTGAGGACTGCATGAAATTTTCTTCTCTGCTTTCACAGCAGATAAGAATAAATTGAATGCAACTTTGATTGTTCTGTCAAGGTTAGCCCTGCTTAATGTTTATCAAAATCTCCTCATTAGAGAATGTAATATTTCCACAGCCCGGGATGCTGACGAGAGAGAGAAGTGGATTCATGCTTTAGAGGAAACAATCCTTCGTCACACTCTGCAGCTTCGGGTAAGCGCAAAGCTCTTCTGATAATGATATGGTAAAGTGCATCTTTATCTGTAGCAATTAAGTTTGGGAATATTTTCAGTGAAAGCATGAATTGAGTCTAAAAGCAATGCACTATTGTAAACTGGTGTGTACATAAACCAGTGTTATTCTGAAGTTGGTTTGAATTGAAATGGTTACAGCTGTCCCTGGGTGTTCTCAATAGTACTAAGCACCAATCTGCAGTGATGCAAGCTGTGGCATACAGCACAGGTAGATACATTCATGTCCACTATTTCCCACACAGTAGGATTCTGACGTTGGCCAGGCTCTTCCCTGTTGGGAGAGAATAGAATTCCTATTTATTTTCTGGTCTGTGCTTCTTCCTCATGTTTCAACTTTAGCAGAAGGTACAGGACAGGGAAACTAGACCTAATCTGGATCAAAGAGAATAAAGTGAGAACGAGTTATATCCTCGTTAGAAAAGCCAAATCGTCTTCTACTTTATTATTTGCCGTTTCAATGTTGTGTTCTGACATCACTGCCAGTTTGTTTGGAAACGGCAACAACAATAAAATTACATTTGTATAGTGTCAGACGGAGGTCCAAAGGCGCAGGACAATTATTGTTTCAGACCAAGCTGGGGGTCGGGATCGGGGATGGTGGAGGGCAGCGGGGAAGCAGGGAGATCAAAGGCATGGTCGAAGAGGAGGGTCTTGAGATGGGCCTTGAAGGAGGAAAAAGAGGGGGCGAGGCGGAGGGACTGCGGGATGGAGTTCCAGAGGGTGGGGGCAGAGTGGCGGAAGGCCTGCCCACCAATGGTAGGGTGGGCGAGGCTGGGGGACGTGAAGCAGGCCGGGGCCTGTTAAGCGGAGGGAATGAGCAGGATGGTAGAGGGTTAGGAGGTGGCAGAGATTGGAGGGAGCAAGACCGTGTAGGGCTTTGAAGGTGAGGACCAGGATCTTGAACTGTATCCTCTGTGTGATGGGAAGCCAGTGGAGTCGGGCGAGGATGGGGGTTATAGGGTCATGGAGCCTGGGGGTGAGGGTGGGGGTGATGGGGTCGGGGAGCCTGGTGCGGGAGAGGACACGGGCTGCAGAGTTAGTTCTGGATGATCTGCGTGTGGCCTGTGGAGGGAGGAGTTGGGGCCGACATGGAAATCATATAACAAATGTAAATACAGAATGTCCCTCAGAAGGTTGGAAGGAGCACATGTGGTATTCCAAACGTTTCTCAAGAATGGCAACCTTTCTGACAGCAGAGGCTGTGATGCTCATTATCAGACACGCCACCACACGTTACTGAGCTGGTGATGGGTGCTGGGAGTCACAGCGGCTGGTTTTCATCAATTTGCCAAACAAGGTCTCTGAGACACTACCCTGTGTGGAGGGTGCTATATAAGTGCAAGTTGTGGTTATCTTTTTCATTAGTTTTTTTTCAAAAAGGTTTGTTAACCTCTCTTCCTTTGCTTGTTGACATGGCAGTTTCTTCCAACCATGCCCAACACTGCTTTCTAACTCCTATTGCTTATCTCCAATCAATATCTGATTGAATCTCTGTGATAGTTTATGTAAATTTTATTTTATAATGTTAAGATTGTTTTGCAACATTAAAATTCTAATAATTTGGTTTATTGTGGTTTACTTGTAGGACGTCCTCCCGACATGAAAGGCGCTATACGAATGTAATTTTGTTGTTGTCACTGCAGTTAGGTTAAAGGGGTAAAATCTGATTTCTTTTTAAATAAAATTAACTGATCAGTTTATTACTGATTTAAAATCAATAATAAGTTGAAGGGATGACTAATTGTAAATTGGTGATGTTTCATCCTTACTTCCAGGCTGGGTTGGTATTGAGAGTGTAATTGAAAGTCTGTGCAATGAAATAAGGTGCATTAAAAGTTAACAGTATTAGTTTGTTCCATCTGGTGAAACAGAACCTCCAAAGTTGTGACTGAGAAAGTCTGGTGTATTTGCAAACCCGAATGGCAGAGAGGTACAGGGAACATCAGGGAGAAAGTGAAAGAGGGAAAACCAAGCCAGTGTTAGTACCAAACAAGAACAGTAATCAGCCCTCTTTCTCTTGCAGTTTTAGGTCTCTTTGATTTCTAAGCTTTTCTTCTCGTCTGGACAATTCCTTCAGGATTTCAGTGCATTATCATGGATGTTCCCATTAACCCACTAGACAGCTAAGTCAGAACTCCCCTGAAGTAATTCTGCTGCATTATAAAAGTCACTGGAAGCTTCTAAGTCTCTTCCCGGCTTACTCCCAATTCTGAGATTCCGTTGGTCTGAAGACAAATGGGTGCATTGGGTGAGAGCAATGATCAAGAGTGCTCCAGAATGATTAGCTGATGGGAGAAGGGTGTGTTCCTGGCCCACATGTATGAATTGCTCTGTTCAGCAGCTGTCTGAACACTCATTGTCAGAGTAGCTTTGTTGAAATGCCATTCGAGGCTGAAATTTCACCTCGGGATCTGTGGGTGTATTTATTTTGAAAGGGAGGCAGTTATTTTCTACAAATGTGAACAAGTTACCAAAACAAATACTGATGCAATTCTACAGCTATTGCATTCACCTTTCTGTTGTAATTAACAATCTCACTAGTTTTACATCCACACACAATTACATTATGAAGTTTGGGATATCAAGGGATGTCTGTTTTGAGTGAAGGGTAACTGAAAATTAAATGTTTACTGTTAACATTTACTTTGGAAACCCATTTGTGGAGCAACGGCCTGAGTTTAACATACAAGCAATTTCTGGGTTAATCCATACACTGAAAGTGCACCTAAACCACCATCTGCCGTGATATTAAACACTGTAATCTTCTTACGACTCCCATCAACCAGAACACTGAGGGATGGTTGTTATGGATGTATTTTATGTTTGATAAGATCATTTGTGTAGTGTTTAAATTTACCTGGTAAATAGCAGTTTTGCATTGAATACAAACAAAGCCCTGAAGTTGTTTTATTTTGTGTTCTCTTCAGGATATTATGAATCAGTGAATGTTTTATTTAACACTTGTACTACAAAAACATTTTTGAGCATATACAATACAATTGGCCTTATCTTGTGCTGCCAAAGATAGTCAATGAGAGGCTGGCATTAGGCACATACAATTCCATGGGCTGATTGTCTCGACACGGTTCCATGTGGAGAAGCGCAAAGTATTTACTCGCTGAGCCAGTTCAAGTTGTGGAATTCCCAATCATATCATCATTGTCTAATGCGGCAACACCCACTGTCCGTTTAAATTTCCATAAAACACATGCTAAGCACTCGCTTTGCAAGCGAGAGACCTGAGTTCAACTCCAGGCAGAGGGCGAAACCTTGGGCAAGTTTCCTTACTCCACACAGAGCCTAATAATAGTCCCTCCAAAACCAAAAACAATAATAAATTGGTCATTTTCAATCTACGACTGTTTGTGGGACATTGCTGTGCACAATTGGCTGCCGCGTTCGCCCACAAATATACAGTCAATTCACTTTACAGTGTGTTCTGTGAAGCGCTTTGGGACGTCCTCCCGACGTGAAAAGCGCTATATCAAATGCAAGGATTATTATTATTATTATAAGAACCTTGTGAAATGGTGAACGCAGAGCACACAGCAAGTGCTCGTTATAGACCATTCATCCACCCTTGTGTCCAGTTGCTGTCTTTTTCCACTCGTAGGTTAAATGATTTGGACATTTCAGCTTTGTGCCGTCAACCAATATATTTATTTGAAGAGAAATCAATGGTTTAATTGTTTTTTGTTGAATTGCTGTCTCTTGAGATTTACCTTTTTTAAATCTATTTTGTTTGTTTTCTTTATTATTAATAGAATAAGTTGAAGCAGGTTGAATTAACCAGTACACATGGAAACTAAATGTGCTCTTGTTTCAATTAAGTATCTTAAATGAAAACAAAAATGAAGGCATATTTCTTGAATTGAGAATATAATCTTATTTTAAATATGCATTGTAATTAAGTATGCGGTATATCAGACCTGCCACAAAGTAATGTTATATTAGACCAAGTGCAAAGACATTGCTACAGTATTAAACATACAAAGCATACAATTGCAGCTAATATGCTTGTCGATTTGATCAGTTGAATACAAAATGAATTGAATTATAACATGGAGCTATGGATCACAGCTAGAATCAGTGTTGCTGTAGCTTCTCAGTGTTGCGTGTTTATAAAGCTATAACTTACTGCATCTCTCTCCTGTCAGAGTGGTGTGCATAACCTCTGTTCTTTTTGTGTTCTGTTCAGTTCAGTCAATGCCACTCAAAGCAGAACTGGTATCTAATGCGCTGCCAAAAGAAGGGAATGTTCCGTTTTATAAATTGTCTACAAGAAAACCCAACAAATTAAGCGAGGTCAACTGTGAGAATTAGCAATAATGTTTAGTTTTAGATTTCACTCTGTGTTTAATCATAGTGCAGCACAAATAGGATGGGATATTCTTCTTCATTGATTTATTGCTGAACTGAGGCACAAATGTTGGGATATAGGCATTACCCTATAATCATTTAGAATAGAACAAGATTTTTATATCCATTCTTATAAGATATGTTCATCTTAATTCATTATTACTATTGATGAACCCGTACTTTCCTCCAGTTATTGCGACTGGGAGAAGTTTTATCTTTTTTTTCAACATGTACAGAGTGTTGGGAGTGTTGCATAGTTATTAATTTGATTTGTGAATAGTGATCAGGAAAGTCCCAGAGAATGATGAGGACACAGCTAATGTGCACAGACGAGGGATTGAATTTGGGATCTTTCTTGTTCAGTACCAGTACTCTGTCTCTGTATTCTACCAGAGCTTCTGCTGTTGGTGTGAGAGTGGCTGTTGATGGTGTGAGAGTGGCTGCTGTTGGTGTGAGAGTGGCTGTTGATGGTGTGAGAGTGGCTGTTGATGGTGTGAGAGTGGCTGTTGATGGTGTGAGAGTGGCTGTTGATGGTGTGAGAGTGGCTGTTGATGGTGTGAGAGTGGCTATTGATGGTGTGAGAGTGGCTGTTGATGGTGT